GATAAAGCGGAGATTCGGTTTGTTCCGCAGAGGATGCTGGCTGTGTGTTTCTCTCTCTCTCCCTCGCTCGCTCACTCACTCAAACACGCGAACATGTTCAATGAGCTGTTTAATTAATCGTCGCAACTGGGCATGCCTAATCTAGGAAGACCTACAATTAACAAATCAACTGGCAGAACAAGATGAAACTAATAAAATTCCACAGCTGTTTCAGGAACTGCAGCTGTACAAACAGCCAGGCTCACGTCCAGCAGTGAATCAATGATTGTGTGCATGTATAATTTACTTTTTTCCGTTTTATGTTGCATGGGAGGCGTAATGCTTTGTGCCGCCCATAATCATTAAAGTAAAAGCAATACAAAACCTCACCTGATACTTCCCTAGTGAATATGTACCTGCTTCGGCGCCTTGATAGTGGGTCTGGATTGTCACTTTCTCCACTTGTGGACTCTGTGCTGTGTGGTTTGGCCTTAAGCCCAATCCCCTCGAACCTCCTTTCTTTAGCTGACGTGCTGTCGTTTGGTTAGAAGGGCTGTGGTGTTTCCCGTCACATACCTAGCTTGCCAATTTTCAACCCTCCCCTCCTGCAGACAATCCTGGTTCAGATCTGGTACCCTATCACAGTGGCCACAAACTCCAGGGAGCAGAAGAAGATCCTGGCCAGGTATCTGGTGGAAACCTCTGGGAACCTGGATGGCCTTGAGTACAAACTGCATGACTTCGGCTACAGAGGGGTCTCCTCGCAGGAGGTACGTCCTCCGCTGGGCCCCGGCTACAACGATGCCCGCATCGCACCCCTCACCAGACGCGCTCGGCCTGACTCATGTTTCGCATGATCTTTTGCTTAAAGCCCATTTCCAAATGTGACGGCTGGTTTATATTGGCTCAAGGTCCAACATGACAGTGATACCGGTGTCAAAACACCACTGTGGCACATGAGTTACTGTGTAATATGCCCCATTTGAGGTGTCTCTTCGTGCTGCTGATGTGATGACTTCGCTCCGCTTTCAGACGGCTGGCATCGGCGCCTCCGCGCATCTGGTGAACTTCAAGGGAACCGACACCGTCGCCGGCATCTGTGTCATCAAGAAGTACTACGGCACCAAGGACCCGGTGCCTGGCTTCTCTGTGCCAGCCGCAGAGCACAGGTAACCCATGACAGATGGGTCTCTTGTGAACACAGCTCTGTGCTTGTCCAGTTCCTCTTGTTTATCACAGAATAAAGCGCTTTGTCTTGCACTTTCCCCAATGTGACCTATTAATCCGCTTTAAAAACTGCAGTGTAGGAGACGTAATTTATTTATGGGGAATATTTTTTCTCCTTAGGGGATGCGGAGTTCATTCTGATGCCATCTAGTGGCTTCAGAGTTGCAATGCATTGTGGGAGCAAAACTTGATTTCAGTTCCCTTTAAATACTGTCTATGGTGGGGTTTCTTCTCTGCTTTTTTTCCCATCATTCTTCTTGTTCTTCAAGCACGATCACTGCCTGGGGGAAGGACCACGAGAAAGATGCCTTCGAGCATATCGTGAAGCAGTTCCCTTCAGTGCCCGTGTCTATAGTCAGCGACAGCTATGACATCTACAACGCCTGTGAGAAGATCTGGGGAGAGGACTTAAGAAGCCTTATTGAGAGTCGGAGTGCAGATGCTCCTCTGGTGGTCCGGCCAGACTCTGGAAACCCGCTGGACACGGTGCTGAAGGTAGGCCTCACTCAGAGCTTGGTGTCATCCTCAGGCACAGTCTGGGTGTTAAGGACGTTCTCCTAAGTGGAATCTTGAGCAGAGACACTGAATGGAAAGTAAGCTTCATTCATATCCAGGATCTAGCTATAAATGTAAGCCTGATTCATACCTGGGCTATAGCTTTGAATGTAGGCCTTACTCATATCTAGGCTATAGTTCTGAAAGTAGGCCTCACTCATACCCAGGCTATAGCCTTGAATGTCAGCCTCATTCTCATCCATAATGCAGTATTGGTTCCCTTGACCTTGGCATCAATTTGCCGTTTAATGCAGCACTGAAAACATCAAGCTTCATTCACCCTCCTGAAAGCTTCTCTGTGTGTCATCATATTAGACCATAATGGCTATAATGGGTTATTCCCTGTTTCAGGTTCTGGAGATTTTAGGAAAGAAGTTCCTCCCAAGAGAGAACACTAAGGGTTTTCAGGTCTTGCCACCCTACATCCGTGTGATCCAGGGGGATGGAGTCGACATCAACACCTTGCAGGAGGTGTGGTTTCTGAGCGACCTACTTGGGCTCTAGATATGGGCGGTTATTTGTGTCTTGGGGGATGTCTTACTGTATGGCACCCACGCCAAATTCTGGTACAGATTGTCGAGGGGATGAAGAAGCACCGCTGGAGCATCGAGAACATCGCATTCGGGTCGGGTGGTGCCCTGCTACAGAAGCTGACCCGAGACTTGCTGAACTGCTCCTTCAAGTGCAGCTACGTGGTGACCAACGGACAGGGGGTGAGTGTCTCAGTGCTGGCGACCTACTCCAAGATGATGATGGACAATTTGCCATTCGGTGGGTGAGCTATAACCGTGTCAGGTGGTCTAACTGTGAGATACTAGATGACCAGATGTCTGGAACTCATCATGTGACTTGTGGAATAGCCAATGACGAAATGTTGTCCCGCTACAGGTAAATGTGTTCAAAGACCCAGTAGCAGACCCCAATAAAAGGTCAAAGAAAGGCCGTCTGTCCTTACACAGGACGCAAAGCGGGGACTTTGTCACCCTGGAAGAAGGGAAGGGCGACCTTGAAGAGTATGGAGTGGTATGTATTAGTCTGCTCTCGTGTGTCCTGCATCTGCTCTCCCGTGTCCTGCATCTGCTCTCCCGTGTCCTGCATCTGCTGTATTGGTTTGACTGTTTCAGTGCATGCTGTGCTCTAGAGATGAAGCTTCAGTTTTCGCGTCACGCCCATCTGCAGGATCCAGTCTTCTTCCTCATCTGTTTCATCTGTGTGATCACGACCCGCCCTTTTCTCCCCCGCCAGGACCTTCTGCACACGGTTTTCAGGAACGGCACGATATTAAAGACGTACTCCTTCGACGAGGTCCGGGAGAACGCCCGGCTGGTGGAGAGTGAGCTGCAGTAGCTGCTTCACTGGACTGTCGTCTGCACCTTAAAGGACCACGGGAGTGGGGGAGGGACCCAAGCAGCGGCTCCAGATTGGGCCCGTAGGCTTGCAGAGTTTGAGATTTTGCCTTTACTCTGTGTCCAGAGCTCTCTTGTGTTTCAGATTTCTGAATCTTTGGTAGGCTTCAGTGTAGTTTTAAGAGAACAACAACAAAAGATGGATCGCTGCACTTAGATGATTTGTATCGCTGTATGTAAAACCAATCGTCCTAATGACCATGCAAATTTTTGAAGGAAATGAAATGTTTATTTCACTATTAATGAAAGTTTCTATAGACTTAATCACGGGCTCTAAGGTAATTGTTAAACGTTGCTGATTTTGAGAAGTGTTTATGCTGAAAGTAGACTACTTCATACCCAAGACTTTTCTCCTGGCAGAAAAAGCTGATGAATAGAAAGGAGTTTTTTTTAGTCTTTACTTTTTTTTTTTTCCTTTCTTTCTCTGAAAACTAGACGTTTTTTTCTTTTTTGCTGTTTCAGAGGCCATATGCTGATATTAAGCTAGTTTAAAGTAGCACTGGCTGTCTTCAAAAGCAGAGTAAACCCACTGCAGAGTAAACCCACTGCATTCTCGGGATCCGTACTGTAAGACAACTGCTTATTTTGTACAAAGTACAAATATTTAATACATTTGTTTTCTATAATTTAGAAAACATACTTCAGAATGTCGCTTTTATTAAATTATGAGAAACTGTAATTATTTTACCAGTGTTTGATTTGACAATTTTTTATACTTTTACTTCACTACAGACTTTAGAAATATTTTTTTTTATGATGGGGAAACTTAAGTGAGTATTTCTATTAAGAATGATGTGGCCAAAGTTCCTTTCTCTTGTATATAGACCTGAAACTCGAGGAAGGTGACAGGCTGGGAAGAAATAGAGAATATATAATTATTTTTTGTCAAAACCCATTTTATACAGAGATAAAAAAAAAAAACACCTGACCTCAGATTGTGGTCTGAATCTGCTTTTAGTTCACAAGTCCATAGTGTTGTGTGAATGTTGTGAATTGACCGATAATCTTTGTGAAGAATTTAGCTTTTGTACCGTCTGTCTGTCTGTCTCTTCATTGCCTCCTTTCTCAGTTTTTAAGGTGTCACTGATTGTACCGTTAGGCCATTAAATTAATCACCATCTGTATCTGTCCAATACCCTCTTCCCTCATGTAAATTGGAGGTGCGTCCATTCCACCTTTTTCTGTAAAATAATAAAAATACAAAACAATCTTAAATTTCACGTTAGTCCAGTATTTACTTTCTCAGTGACTACTTGGTGGTTTTGCTGATGATTTAAAAAAACAAAACAAATTCTCAACATTTTAAATGCTTGTCTTTCGTTTGCACACCTGGATATAAAGCCCTCCATAAACTAAACGTGATGTATTTTGTGTAAGTTTTTGTCATCGAAATATGATTTTAATATAAATGACTGAAAAATACAGGCCCGTTGTGCTATTTCTACCCTATGCATGCCTACATCAGGTATTCTTAGTTTCGACATTTATAAAGTGCGGACTAAATAAAAATGAGATCACAAATGATTAAGCTGTCTTCGGCCCTTTGACCTTTCCTTGTCCTCTCTGGCAAAAGCTTTTAAAAATATTTTAGCTGTTAGGTCTGTCCTTGTCGGTGCAGTTTGCGTTGTAAGAGCCCCGAACCCAGCACATCCCGGTGCTGTGACACGCGCTGCTGCAAGTCAGATGACGCCGAATGAGACCCGGGGGGGAGATTTCCCGAGACATTTGGGGGCTGCAGACGCAGAGGCGTCAAAGCGGAGGAGAAGGCATCGCACAGTAAATGTCCGATAACGGAGTGTCTGAAATGATGATACTATATATGCAGTGGTATTAAAATATCGGCTTTCTGAATTTAAGGGGATTCTGAGCACTTGACTGGATGTAAAATTAAGTTAAACTGTTCAAGTTTTTAAGTAAAACTCTTCTGATCTAAATATTATGTTACGGTGAAATAAGTTAAGCAGCTGGTCAGAGACCTTCTCGCCAACTTCCAGCTTAAAACAAGGAAAGTGCCAGCATATCATTTTGCAGAGAAAAAGGAGGGGCGCTCAGTTTTCCCCGGCAGTAAAAATCGCCGAGAGACTCCGGCAGACTTTAAGTTTGTGTTTCTGTAGGCTTTGCTGAGTCGTTTTCTTGTTTTTAGGGGTGTTTTAGCTGCAGTTTAGATGATGACGGGACTTCGGCTAAACTGGGCTCCTCTTAAAGAACCGCTAGGTTTTATCAAAGTCCTGGAGTGGGTGAGTTGCTACATTCCTCACTGTAATGGCCGATATAATTAATTACTTATGCTCACGATTCCGAGACTTCTGTCTTTTTACTCTGCTAAAATGACAAAATACGGTACATATGATTCCGTCTAACGAGTTCCAGAAAATAGCTAATTATACATATATGAAAAGTATTTTAAATTTGATTATTATACTTTTTTTTGTTTTTTTAGCTAGTCCGTGCGCGGAGAATGTCCACGGTGGTTTTCTAATCCATCCAAATATGCACTTACTTTAGGCAAAATAATTAGTATTACTTTTCGATTTTTTTCCATTTTACTCGATGGTTTTCCAATTAATGTAGATGCACAGATTTTATAACAGCGGTCATATTGTGTTATTATTGTATCCAATGGCCTTTTTAACCTTTACTGAAAATGTAGGTTGCTTATGTTATATGTTAATGCATTTTCTTTAATAATTTACTTTTCTTGGCAAAGTAAGGGGCATTTTGGTTATTCTTCGCTGCAAGCCGATATTAACATTGGTTTTAAAAACGGCATAGCTTGCAATTCATTAACCTGCTTTAGTATTAAAGTACTGTTGAACCGTATAGTAGTAAAGATAATTTCTTTAGTCAAATGTCCCTCTATTCACATTGTAAGGAAACATTTAAGATGAAACTGTAATTGTGTAGTCTTTTTAACTAGGCCTATAGCATTTTTACAGTTTGGCGTGATTGGTAATTATAGTTATTCTGACACGTCAAAAATCAGTCAAAAAAAACAAAGAGGAGTTTTCCGTTCAACAGATAAAAATAAAACGATGGCATGTGTTAAAACTCTTTCCGGCCGACTGGTTACTTGTTCCTATTTATTTTTATGTATCGGATTGAATTTATGGGGGCTGAGGGATTTAACGGACCAGCATTTTTCTGTAAATGCTCCAGAGAATGCAGTGTAAATAGGGGCTATGAGAAGAAGATGGTTATCGGAACTGTGGAAATGTACAGGCTCACAACGCTACTAATGCCTTGAAAGACAGTTAGTGTCTCATTTTTACTCATGGCTACATCAAATATACCACGAAAAAGCTAACGGTGACGAATGGGGCACTTTGTGGCCCTGGGGGGTCTCTTCGACTTTGAGCTCAACCTTTTGATGGCGGCGTATGTTTCATTTCTCCAGACGTCAGAAGACTGTGGCTCAGACGGTCTGTCCTGAGGACGCCCCAGCCTCTTTGTGTGTGTGGAGTGACGTGTTTGTTTTGCAGCTGATGGCAGTCCTTGCCTTTGGATGCTGTGCTGGATACGTGGGGAGAAACGTGGCCTCAATCTTCTGCGGCGGAGGCAGAAACGAGACTCTGAATGTAACGTTTAGCTACCCGTTCAGGTCAGTTCCGGTTTATGCTCTAGCTCACTTTATTTACCCAGCATGCCCTGTCGTTACCCATGAGGCTCTTGTCGTATATCTCACTTAACATCTGGTGACACTTAAAGCATTTATTTGAGTCAGGCATATCGTCAGGCATCCCCGGGCCTCATTAGTCTCCCTCTGGCTCCAGACAAAGACTGAACCATAGGGGGATGTTTCACTTTCAATAAGTGATGGGGAAGCAAGGTTTTGAAACCCAAGGTGGGTGAGATTACTGTACACAGCTGATTACTGCCTAATTTGACACAGTAATCAAGAATTGATGTCACTGTTTGACTGCACTGGATCCAGGTTGATCTGATACTGTTTAGGAGATTAATTATATTTTACATTTACAATTTAGGTGGACGCCCCTCCCTGCCTTGTGCCCATAGCTTCCGGGATAGGCGGGATAAGCGGTTACAGAAAATGGATGGACAGATGGATGGATTTACATTTTATTTGCTCAGCAAATACTTCTTTTTCCCCATAGTGATGCACAATTAAGAAATCGGGGTCAGAATATCCCCGAGCTGCATGTGCTTCTTTGGTTAAGGCAATGCCATTTTCTGTTTTTTTTTTTTTTTTTTTTTTACTTTGTTTATGTTTGGTGCTGTGGTATGCAGGGGTAAGAACTCACGTAAGAACTGCACCGTATTGCAACAATAACAAACATCTTTATCTAATCCCCACTGAGAGGCCTGACCCCCCCCTGCACACACACTCCCCAGGTTGAACCAGGTGCTGCTGGTGGAGACCAACGGGACCCTCTGTAACCACACAGTGCCGCAGACCCACCTGGTGCAGGACGTGTCCTCGTCGGCCGAGTTCTTCGTGGCCGTCGGCGTGCTGGCCTTCCTCTACTGTCTGCTGGCGCTGCTCGCCTACGTGGGGTACATGCACATCTACAGGGACTCTGACCTCTGCCCCATCGCCGTGAGTCTGCATAGAGGATGCCGTCCCGGTCACACTCCCTTATGCATCTAGAAAGTCCTAAATGCGAAGCAAAGGGCCCATTTTCCTGCCCAATGTCACGTTTTCGCCGGAGGGCTGGTCAGGATTGCAGTATAAAGGTACAGCGGATTACAGGGGCAGTGTTACTTAGTATTACTCATGACTGGAACATAAGGGAACGATGGATCACAGGGGCAGTGTTACCTAGTGTTACTCATGACTGGAGTTTAAGGGAACGATGGATCAGAGGGGCAGTGTTACTTAGTATTACTCATGACTGGAACATAAGGGAACGATGGATCACAGGGGCAGTGTTACCTAGTGTTACTCAGGACTGGAGTTTAAGGGAACGATGGATTAGAGGGGCAGTGTTACCTAGTGTTACTCAGGACTGGAGTTTAAGGGAACGATGGATCAGAGGGACAGTGTTACCTAGTGTTACTCAGGACTGGAG